AATGAAAAGATCAAAATGCAATTGAAAAATTGCACTTGGTGCCTGGTGAGCCGAATTGTGTCCACCATCAGGATTCCTATGTTGGAGTCCTAACCCGAGCACCTCAGAATGGGGCTGTATGTGGAGGGAGGGTCTTTAAAGAGCGGATTAAGGTAAAATGAAGTCCTATGCTGGGCTCTGACCCAATCTGACTCGTGTCCTTAGAAGAAGAGGAGACTGGGACACAGATGCGCATAGAGGGATGACCGTGTGAAGACACGGGGACAGATGGCTGTCTACAACACCAAGGAGAGAGGTCTCAGAAGAAATCAACTTTGCCAAGACCTTTCTCTCCAACTTCTGGCTTCCAGAACTGTGAGAAAACGCATTCCTGTTGTTTAAGCCCTAGTCTGGGGTACATGGTTGTGGCGGCATGAACAGACTAAGGCAGTCTCTTGCTTGCGGCTGAGAGGACTTCTGGAAGGGCTGTGGAATGGAGCCGGTCAGCTGTGGAGTCTGCAGTGGCAGAAGCTGCTACCGTGGGAGGGTCCGGTGGGTGGGGGGTTGCGAACCAGACCGTGTGTACGAGGAGAAGGAATAAACAGAAGGAAAGGAGAAGATGGAGAGGAAGGGGAAGACGAGGAAGACTGTCAGCAACTGTACCCTACAGAAAGCTGGCTCTTGTGTTCTGCCCCCTTCGAGGGACCCACTTGGTGGAGCGGCTGATACGTCCTCAGCCTCCCCTCCGCCGCCCTCCCCTGCCCTGTGGTGGGAGCTCAGGGGCTCCCAGCCAGTCCTGAGTTATAGCGTGCTGTGTGTCAGCTTACTTGCCTAATGATTTCCCTCCCTCTCCCTCCAGCGCCCCATCCTGATGCCCTCCACCCCCAGGGGCAAGGGCTGAGTTCACAGGCTCTGCACCTCCTGACCTACTGTCGTCACTCCTGGACCAGGCAACATTCCTCTGTTGTCTGTGTTTCTCTGTTTCACCCCTTCTTATCTTCAGTCCTGCTCTCAGTCCTTCTGCCCTGCAATGCCCTTCTCCCATCTCTGGACAAACTCCTGTGTAAGTGTTTGATGAATGTCCTTAAGCCAACCTGTCCTGTCTCCTCCCTCCATCCTCTAGCAATCCATCAGACTGTCTATCTATCTATCTATCTATCTATCTATCTATCTATCTATCTATCCATCCATCCATCCTTGGATCCCCCAACTACCTGCCCATGTCCCTTGGGTGGCTGCAGACATTACCAGGCAAGGTCAAGGCCTGGTCAGGTGGTCTCTCTGATGTGGGAGCCACCTATCTCTCCAGCTTTAGCCCTGAAATGCCAAAGGCAGTGGCCAGATCTGAGCCCAATGCCTCTTGGGGCATGGATTCTTGGAGACCTGCCTTCCAGATCACCCCCCAACACTCGTCTCTCTTTGCAGCTCCCCTGCCCTTCTCCTTGCCTTGCCCCAAGCCCCCAAACCTAAGCCTGTAAAGAGGGTGCCCACAGCTCTCCTGTGAGTCCTGTGCCCTTGACGTGTCTGGGAGGAGGCAGCTGGTCTGGATGTTCTAAGACAGGCATGCAGACGTGTGTCCTGTGTGCACGGGGGCCCTCAGCTTTGTGAGCAGGTGGCACTCCTCTTGGCCCTGAGCCCTTAAACTTGGTCCTGGCCTTATTCCCCTGCTCCAGGCCAGGCTCTGAGCAGCCCTCAGGCTGACTTTCTGTGTGAAATCTGGCACATGAGATCATCCCCACAGCGTGAATGGATGGCATTTTTAATCACAGTGACAGTGTCAGCATGCTCAGGGGCTCCTTCGGGGTTCTTGCAGAAGGACCCGCTAACCACTGGGAATCCTGGTCTTGCTTTGCCCTCAGACACTCCAGCACATCACAACAGGGTGTCCCGGGGTGAGCTGTGGCCCCAGAAACCTCTCAGGCACCTAGGCACCCCGCTGGAAGTGAGCCAGTTGGAATGAACATGATCCCCCAAACATGTGGTCAAGGCTGTCAGAAACTGGGTTATCGTGAAAAGGAGTCTGACACACACAAAAGCCCTGGGGGTCAAAGAAGGGCACATGGGGGTGGTATCCATGGGTGTGACCATGTTCTTCCTCTCACTGGTCCGGGGCCATGGGCAAGTGTCCTGAGCCTGCTGAATCTGACTTTCCTCCTCAAAGGGTGGGCTGTGGCAGTCATTATGGAAGGATACAAGATTTCTGGATCTTTCCCCCTGGACACAAGGCCCTTTGCCATTCCCCTGGGGTCAGGTGTGGTGGTGCGGCTTTCACTCAGTCTGCACAGTGGTAATCCATGTCGCTGTCAGGTGATGGCCTTAATGGATGGTGTGAGACTTGCCACACTCCTTCCACCGGCCGGGACTGAGTCGGGAGGCCCTGGGGCAGAATCTCTAGTCCCCCCGCAATGAACACCTGGCATGAGTAAGCCAGCATCCCGGCTGGTTTAAAGCCACTGAGACTTGGGGGCTCTTTCTTCCTGCAGCAAACCCAACCCGTCCCGACTGACAAGTGGGGGTAATAAGACCTTCCACGCGATGGCGTTACTGCACACGGACCTGCCCGTCGTGGCCACTGTCCTCTCCCGCACCCTTCCCTGCCGAGTAATGCAGCTGGGCAGGCGGGGCTAGGACAGCTCCCCAGAGCTCAGCACAAGCTTGGCTCCCCGCACACGGAGTCTGGGGGAGCATCTCAAGGGAGAGACAGCACGACGTTTCTGTTTGGGAGAAGCCGCGGATGGGCTGTGGTTTCCCAAATGAACAATGTGAAGGGAAGGTCAGATGGATCCAAGCAGCTTGGAGACCTCCCTGACATGCGTGCCTGTGTGTGTGTGTGTGTGTGTGAGCATGTGTGTGCCTGTGTGTGTGTGTTTAAATGTAAATTAACTCCTCGCCCAGTTCAAAGGGACTTGTAGGATGGAATACCCTACTGTACAACAAGGGCTCCTTCCTCCCCTTGTCTTATAGGTAAGGGTGAGAGCCTGGGTTCAAATCCCGCTCCGTCATTTCCCACGGGGGTGACCTTGGGGACTGGCTGCCTCTGTCTGAGCCCCGGGCTGCTGGTCTGTCCCAGCGAGGCACGAAGGCCTGACCTCCCAGCATTGACAGGGGATGAGTGGAGCCTGGCACGAACAAGCGCTCAGCAAATGTCAGTGTTACGGTGGCACATCTGTGCCGTCTGCTCCCAAACCGTGGCGCGAAAGTGAGACGGCGTGTTTTGTGTGGGGGTACAGTGAAGTCTTTTAACCACCCCCCACCCCCTGCCCCAAACTGTGCAGAAGACAGTGGCCTACCGCCCAGATACAGAAAGCTTAGTGGTGGGCCAGGTGAGGGCGCTAGAATTTCTCCACTTAAATGGTAGGGGTGGACCGGTGTTGACAGAGAAGAGGCTTGACGTTCATTTTCCCCACAACAATGAATATTTTACTGGCCCCTGGCTCTGCTGGCTTTGAACCAAACAGGAAGAAGCCATTTCAGGTTTGAAGTCTATTGAAAAGACTACTTGTCATGTTCTGGCTGCCCCAGCTAAAGATGCCCGAGGACGGGAGGAAATGGGTGTGGGGCCCAAGGAGTCCCCCACAGCATGCACACTCAGAGGCAGGGTGCCTGTAGTTAAGATGCAGTCAGGGATGCTGTACGAGTCACGTGGTGAGTCCACCTCCAACTCTGAGACTAATGAACGGCAGACAGAGAATGTCCACCAGTAAGAGGCCACGAGGCAGAGCGACTGGGGCGGATGGTGACCGTAGGACCTCGGGCTGACGGTGTCCATTCCCTGAGCCTCAGACTCTCTGCAGTAAAGCGGGAAGGACAGGAAACCCCAGCTCAGGGCTGCGTGGATGTCATGAGCACATGAAAAGCCACGTGCAGGGGACCTGGCGCAGAGTGACGGCTCTGTGATGCAGGAGTAAGCATCACGTGGGCCCGTGGCCGGGGCTGCTGACCTTGGACTCAGCCAAGGCCAGCAGAGTCTCTGGGATGTGCTTGAAGCTAGTCAGTTAAGAGGCAGACTACTAACCGTGGGGGATGGGGGGACGGTTGAAATAGCCCCTGAGAAGGGATGGTGGTTCTTCCTCAGAGACATCTGGCAGATTCTCACCTCCATCATGGGCAGTGGGGACCCCTGGGGACATCAGAGCAGAGAAGCTTGGACCCTCTTTGGAATGCAGCTGGTGGCCCCTGGCTCTGCGCAGAACACTTGTAAAGTCCTTGTCTTTTGCGTTCCTGCCCCCAGAGAACTCTCTGGTCTCGTTTCCTGCCTCTCCCATCCTCCTTGCTCACTCTGTTCCAGGCACACTGGCCTCTTTGCTGTTTCTTACACAGGCCAAGCATGGCCCTGCCTCAGGACCCTTGCACTTGCTGTTTCCCTGCCTGGACTTCTCCATTCCTGGGCTGCTTCACTTCACTCAGGTTTCTGTTTCCCTTTTCAGCTCCAGGACCATAGAACACAAATTTTTGTTCCCACTCTATCCCCACTGCCTGAAACAGTGCCCGGCACAGAGTAGGGACTCAATAAATATGTGCTGAATAAATGAGTGGGTGAATGAATAGATTCTTGACCTACACACAAAGAACGTATCCATTTCCTGAGTTCACATTTTCCTGCGTGCCGTGGTCACCCTTGGGACAGTGACCTCATCAGCCTGGTTATGATGATGACAATGAGGATGTCAGATGCACGACAGGGTGCACTGTAACTATAACATGGATTTGGTCTAACACTGTGACAAGCACATTGCAAAAGTGCAGGTTCAAGATTCTAACCTAAGTTTCCTTGCAGACCCTTGGCGATGGGAAGCCCACTCCCTCTGAGCAGCCTTTGTGTTTAGGGGCAGATCCTGGAAGGTGCAGGAGGGAGAAAGAGGATTCAGGGTTGGAGCCAAGGTACATCTCTGCCTTTCTTAGGCCAACAGTGTGAGTTTCCAGGTGAGAGACTCAGCGTCTGCTCTGTGACTCACCCCTCACACAGAGGGCTGCCGAATCAGAGGGCATGCCATGGACAGGAGACCCCTTGTCAGTCATACCTGAATGAACGGGAAGAGGAGGCCAACAGCGAAGTTGGAGAGCCAGTTGACCGTGCCCGCAATGATGAAGGCTGCCGGCCGCTGGGATTGCTGGAAGAACTCGCCAGTCAGGATGAATGGGATGCCCCCTGCAATGTCAGAGCAAGGGCACAGAATGACTCCCACTGAGAAGGTCACGCCGCCAGCATCCACCTAATGGCAGGGTAGCACCCTCTTCATGACCGTGAGTGACAGCTTCAGGACTGGGTGCTGGAGTTAGCCCCTCACTCCTAACGTGGACAAATCAATCCCCTGGCCTGGCCCATCCAAACGAGAGGTGATTCATCCTTTTGGCTCTCCAAATGCCTTCTGAATCAAGCTGTGATCCACTACAAAATGAGTACAGTACGTACAAATTTGATTTACAAGGCAACTGACATTTACTGATACAGTGTGTCAAGCAGGTATGGGCTACCATACCTGGCTAAGAAAACTGAAGCCCAGGGGCGCCTAGGTGGCTCAGTCCTTGGGCATCTGCCTTCGGCTCAGGTCAGGATCCCAGGGTCCTGGGATTGAGCCCCGCATCGGGCTCCCTGCTCAGCGGGAAGCCTGCTTCTCCCTCTCCCACTCCCCCTGCTTGTGTTCCCTCTCTCGCTGTGTCTCTCTCTGTCAAAAAATAAATAAAATCTTAAAAAAAAGAAAGAAAGAAAAGTGAAGCCCAGAGAAGTTATTAGACTCCCCCAAGGTTACTCAGCCCCTGAGGAGCAGAGCCAGAACTCAGGCTCGGGACTCCAACCTCCAAATCACAGCTTTGTTTCCCTGCTGATCCTTGCTTGACAGGATGGAAGCCCCTGCCCAACTGGTGATTGTTTTGTCCTCCTTATTGCCCCGTGATGGGATGTGTGATGGGCTCCACTGGTCATCCCAGCAGTGGAGTGTTACTCAGCGGAAATGTCATTGGCATTGAGGGAGGACAATTCTTTGAGGACTGTCCTGTGCAACTGCAGGATGTTTGTCACCCCTCACCTCCAGGATGCCAGAGCTCCCCTGGTCGCCGTGGCAACCCAAATTGCTTGCACACACATCCAAAACATCCGCAGGGTACTACACCTAGCTGAGAATCTCCAAGGTCTGCACCCTCCTCTTCCGGAACTCAGTGAGACCTGGGATTGGGCCCTGTGCCCAGACCCCGGACCTGGGGCTCAGCATGACCACTGGGGGCCTGTTTGTACCCCCCTCCCCAATGGAGTCCCCACTGCCAATCAGATCTATATGTTGGCATTCCACAGACAAGGGCAGTGGAAGGCGAATGCCCGAGGGACCTTTACCAAACTCTAGGGAGACACTGACCAGTTTGACCATGATTATTGACTGCGTTGGGGCTGGTCCCACAGTGGTGGACAATAGGGACAATGTCCTGCCCTCATGGGATTCCCCCATCTGGTAGGGGGGAAAGGATGATGTGTTTATCAAAAAGAGGTGAATGAATGAATAAATAATTACAACATGTGATAAGCATGGAGGGAATGCAGTGAGCAATGGGGGGGAGCCTGCATTCTTCATGGCTAAGGAGGCTAATGCTCCCTTGTGGTGCATTCAATAATCTTCTATCTCTTTTGTTCTGCCTTGGGTGAATCCTTTCACCACCTGCACCGCCTGTCTCCACTGGGTCAGGTTGTCCCACAAAAGGGTTAGGACACAAAGGTGGATCTTTAGACTTGAATTCCTGCCTTCTTTCAGTTTTTAAAAAGATTTATTTTATTTACTTTTTAAAAGATATTTTATTTATTTGAGAGAGAGAGAGAGAGCACACAAGTGGGATGGAGAGGGGCAGAGGACAAGCAGACTCCTGGCTGAGCACTGAGCCTGACTCAGGGCCTTGATCCCAGGACCCTGAAATCACAACCAGAGCTGAAGTCAGATGCTTAACTGCCTGAGCCACCTAGGTGCCCCTTTATTTATTTGAGAGAGAGAGTGTACAAGCAGGGGGAGGGACAGAGGGAGAAGGAGAGACACAGACTCCCCGCTGAACTTGGAGCCCAACACGGGGCTTGATCCTGCAACCCTAAGATCATGACCTAAGCCAAAATCAAGAGTCGGACCCTCAACCAAATGAGCCACCTGGGCTCTCCAAAATCCTGCCTTCTTTTGACTGCACCTTCCAGCTCAAAAGGATAAAAAGATGACAGGGGATTCATGCTACTGTTTCCACCCTGTACCTGGTGTAGCTCCCGCGGAGCTCTCTTCACATCAAGGACTTATACCACTGCCTAGTAGTGTGGTGTAGCTTAGACTTTGCAAGTCAGCCCCAAGTGGTTATGTCTCTTGGCCAACAGTCCTTGTTATCTTATTCAGTTCTTACTTGTTATTTTATTTGGCTAGTTTATTCTGGCTTCCCCCAGAGGCAGACCCGACATGTAGTTTGTATGTGAGTCGATCCTAGGAAATGCCGGTAAGAGTGTGGGTAACTGAAAGACGTGCGGAGAGGCTGAGTTATCAGCAAGTCACCTCTGTGGGCCACCAGGACTTAATCCAATTGGGGGCCCCCGGGAAACTGTGGAAAACCCATCTCAGAATGAAGACAGCAAAAGTCCCTACCTCTCTGGCCTTGTTTTGGAACCAAATGGAACCTGCTTAGCAATGTGCACCTGCAGTAAGCCAGCTGACAGCTCTGTCGTCTCCGCTTCTGACAGCTTCCCCGCATGTGGCCGTCACCCCCCCCCACTCCCCCTGTTTTCTTTCTTTCTCTTGCCAGGTGTCTGGGTAAAATCTCAAATTGTATTTCATTTTTGTATAAAAGAAATAAAGGGCAAATGTCCGAACTTTTGTATAATTCATAGTATTATATTCTTTTAATGGAGCCATTACGATCAATTTTAAAAGTCCTTTAATAAGGGCTTTATTTAAATCCCCTTAATAATCTCCACAGGTGTGCCCATATGCTATTTAATGCTTTAAACATATTTTCCCCCCAAGCACCAGTTTTAAAAATACCTTTAAATTTTTTTCCATTTAATATAATAACTTTGAAAATTCTTCATGGATATTTTGCTGTGTTTATCTCACTAGACTTAGTGTTTTTTTGGCTCTTCATCCGTCTGTTTTCATCCAACATTTACGTTCCCAGCCCTGAGCTGGGCACTTTCAGAATCTACTCGTCTACGTGACTAGTTCACATAACTACCTTAGGAGACAGGTATTCTAATACCCATTTAGCAGGTGAGGGAATCGAGGCCATAGAGAAGCAGAATGGTGTGCTGAAGGCCACACAAACTGTCACCAAGAGCTTCTGATTCAGCCTGTTTTTCAGGAGACACCGGAGAAAGGGTAAATGCACCGTTTTCCAGGCAGGTTTCTTTTACAGCGACAACCAGGTGTATATCAGCAGTCAGAAGGCACTCTTGCAGCTTGCGGGGAGCTGGCCCCAGAATGCACTTGGTGCGGGAAGAGGAGCAGAGCTGCAGGGGTGGCGATCTGCTTGGGAAGCTCACCACCTTGGAGGACACATGTGCAGCCAAATGGGGAAAAGGCAGGTCTGACCTCTCAGAGGGGGTGCCCACCTCTTTGGGTGCATGCTTTCCAGGCCAGAGAAGGATGGGAGATGTGGCGGGTGCTTCCCGGGGGACCTCTTGCAGAGGCTTGTCCCGTCCTGACTCTCAGTGGGCACTTCTGTCTCCATGGCCGATAATGTGGGAGGCTTTGGTCTTTCTGCAAGCCTCAGTTTCCCCACTTATAATCTGGGCACTTGATGAGCTACTTAGCATCTCAGTAAAGCTACTGTAGCACTTACTTGGCACACGGTACATTGTTATCATGATGAGGCAGCCATGCTTTGGAGGAGCACTGGCTTTGGAGTCAGATAAACGCTTTTTTTTGAGTCAGATAAACTCTTCACTTACAGCCTGCGTGACCAAGGACAAGTCCTATCGATGGCTCTCAACTTTCTCATCTGTAAAACAGGGACAGCTCCTACCTCTTAGCATTGTTTTGGGGATCAAATGAGAGTGCTTAAGCACCGTGTTGAACATGTTGTAAAGCTCAGTGCTATCAACTGTTATAGCTATCCTTCTTCCCATTATGCAATCACCTAGATGCTTGTTGAGTATTGACAATGTGCCAAATTCTTGGAAAGTTTGCCCTTTGTGGGGTTTTAAATCATTTTAGGAAGGGAGTGATAAACTCCACGGGAGTTTGGCACCAGACATTGCTGATCCTAGACAAAGAATTACAAGTCATCAGGAGTCGTTGGTCTGAGGTGAGGGAACAAAAGCAGTTTGCTCCTTTTGCTTTCAGAGATGCTGCAAAATCAGGCTTCAGCTGTCCAGCCGCATTCCTACCTTCCATGTTGGGACACTGAGGCCAGAGAGAAGTGAGACTCCCTGTTTCAGGCTTCCCAACTAGCCGGTCTGTTGTGTGCACTGTTCTTCCCGGGAATTCCTCGCTCCTGTCATGCTCAGATGGTGCCCACTCCTAGAAATATACCCAGGATCGGAGGGACCTCAGGGCACACAGGATATGGACAATTATTCAGCATGGACTTGGCCCTCAGTACGTGACATGTAAGCCATGGCACCTTTCTTCCCTTCTTGCCAGCCTAACTACAGCCCAGGCACGTAAGCAGACAAGGTCCTGACCCAAGCCTGTGGTCTCGCCCACAAGGAGTGTGCCTCCTGAAGAAACAAAAGGGAGGCTTCTCCAGGAGGGGGAATGAGACTGGAGTGTGTGTCTAATTAGATAGAAGGAGGAGGTCCCTTTACCCCCACCTAGGCCTTCCATGGATGCTAGCCTTCCCTATCTTTTTATTTCTTTATTCTTTTGCTTATTTATCATGCTCTTTGGGGGGTAGGTAGTTTGTTTTGCTCACTGTCACTCCCCCATAGCAAATTGTGTCCCTTAATAGATATTTGTTGGGTGGATGAATGGATGAAGAAATAGGAAATAAGGATCGTTAAATGGGTATTTTAAAGGAGAGCAGAAATTCATTACACGGTCAAGGAACTGGTAGGGGGAGGGGCAGAACACGGAGTGGGCTTAGAGGGTGTCTGTTTGGGGGCAGCAGAGGTATGTCCACACGGGACTATACAGAGCTGGGTGGGTCCCAGGCATCTGTGCTGCCCTGCTGGGGGGTCAGGAGTTTGTAGGCACGAGG